AAAAATATAAATGATGTATTTTTCTTAGCTTTTAAAATGTTGATTTTATTTTTGTACTAGTTGTTAGATCCATAAAACATGGTTTTTCAATTAACTAAAATCTTATAGGAACCTCACTACTGTATTATACAAAACTTACATGTACTAAAGTTTCTACTTTTATTTTTATGAAAAAATGATTATCTTCAGCTGCAAAATAGTAACATTATAAAAATATTTTTAAAAACTAACTTACCAAAAAAGATGTAACAACATCACCTTCTCCAAAATTACTGCCATAATCTTTAAATTCACATTTTGTTGACATTTTTCCAGTGCCACCATATCCATAAGTGAATGGTTCCTCACCTATAAAATAAAAGTTTCTATTCTTATTACTTTTACATAATTATATCAATTATATTAATACTACAATATCTTTGAAAACAATTACAAAAAATTTTAATTTTTTCAAATAACTGATAGAAATATTTTTAAATTTATAATTAATAGTTGGTATAAAATATATTGAAATGAAGATTTTCATGTTTAAATGAACATTTGAATAGATAAAAATAACAACTTGTACTGGAACTAGAAAGAATTAATCAAAATTATCACCTTTTTACAAACTCCAGCAAATAATTTAATATCATAAAAATGTTTTCGATCGTCTTTAGCGATCATCATCAGTTAAAAAGAACATTAAAAATAGAACAAAAATCAAATTTACGAAAAATAATAACTGCACATGCGTAATGATGAGCGCTTAACGGAATGAATACAAAAAGTTAGGGAAATAATACTAAAAGTAAATAAATAAATAAAAATAAAGAGCTCAACAGTTTCTCGTTAAAGATTAATGTTTCGTAAAAATTACAGATTATCTTCATAGAATGATTTCCATGCTGTGGATAGAGAGTGGGCGTCCCTATGATTGATACAAGTAGTTTTCCCATGTGCTTTATAAATCTCCAGTTTTTCAAGATGTTTGATGGAGTGCTTGTTAGACATGGGTCTAATGATGGAAGCTTGGTCCCATATGACCTCAATTCCTTGCTGGTTGGCATAAGATGCTAAAACGGTGCTATCGTTGTTCTTTTTAATAGAGTATTTATGTTCTTTGATTCTTTGATCCAAGCTTCTCAAAGTAGCACCTATATAAACACTATCTGAATCAAAGCGACGGTCTTTGATTGGTATGGTGTAAATACCGGAGGTAGCGATCTGGTTGTCATTCTTTTTATCATTTCTCAGTAACTTGTATACTGTGGGATTGCGGCAATATATGATCCGTAAATTATTGATGTTCGCAATATCCTTCATCATTTTTCTTAAGAAGGGATGATAGTTGATTACCACCATGCATTGATTGTTAATTAATGGAGACTGATTAGTTTTAAACTGAAAAGTTTTGCAATGAGTTTTTTTATGAGATTCTTTTGGTAACCATTTTGTTGTGCTATTTGTATAATGTACTCTAATTCCTTGTAAGTATCAAGTATATCTGTGCAATGAGTAAAGGCTCGTTTGATCCATGATCAGAAAGCTGCATATTTAAACTGTCTAGGATCTATTATGTATATATAAAACTGTGATATATATCACAATTTGTAAAAGTTGCACTCCATTATTACTATTTTTAATTTTCCAATTATAAAAATATAAATGATGTATTTTTCTTAGCTTTTAAAATGTTGATTTTATTTTTATAAAAATTTGGTATGATGATGTTATTTAGGCCCGGTTTTCTGTAGATGTTAGTGCATATTTCACCTCTTTTGTATATCATGTTGACGTCAAGGAAATGGACATTAGTAAAGCTTTCCTGATCCAGTCGCTTTCCCTGAATAGATAATTTAAACCTAAAACACTGCAACTTTCAATTAAATTCTTGTTATCTCAATTGCTTAATGATAAACCAATGTCACATTATATGTTCACATAAAATATACACTATACCGTAATATGCTAATGATACTGTAAAATAATAAAATAATTGTTACACAAAAAGACTAAAATTGCAAAGCTCAAACCTATATCAAATAGTTCTAGTGCCTAGTGTCTTATCCACTCAGCTATTGCCATTCCAAGGACACACGAAACTTCCAAAATCTTATAAGCTAAATGCTGAATTTTCAGAGGCCTGTTTTTTTGGAAACACTTCAGAAGTAAGTCCTATAATTTGGATAAGAAGCTATTTGTGTTTAGGACTACATGCTCACCAAGTTTCTTTCAAATCAAAGACCAAACATTTGACTCTGCCCTTGTCAGAGTAACAAAAAATGCAACATTGTACAAACTTTTAATAAGCCATTAATGAAAATATTTAATCATAATCATGATAATTTCAAAGAAGACTGGTCAAGCCTATCTGATAGCATGCTCCACAAAAGCAAATATTTTTAAAAATAAATTTACTATAAAATTTAATTTAATACAATATACTAACCGACTAGTTTTTACTATAGCTTACAGTGACCATGAACAAATGAAAATCTTTTGAACATGTTCTCTTTTGAGCATGCACATGGACATGTGCAATAAATGAACTGAACAGAACATAACACTCAGATAACTCTTAAGCCTAATGTTGGAAATTTCTTGATGATCGAGTTTAGGCTTAAGTTATAAGCCTAATTTTCACATTTGAATTAAATGTTTCAATTGAATGGATGAAACAGAACATAACATATGTGTAACAAAAGTGAAGTCATTATGCATGCATGTGGAAATCTGACAGACAGACGAAAGTCCTAACATAAGCACTTCACTACCGTAAAGTGCGCTAAAAAATTAGCAACAACAAAATAAAATTTAAATTAAAAATTATTTAATTAACACAACTTTAATTTATGCTATTGAATTTTAATCAAATATTATCAAACTTTTCTCAAAAGATGTCATTATTTATGAAGCATCTTTGGAGAACAAGTAAAACAATCCTAGATAATTTCTTCTCAGAACATTATCTCCACAATGTTGGAAATGGGCAAGTTTCTGAGAATTGCAACTCGGCTTTTTCATTAAATTCAGTGACTTAACAGTTCCAAAATTAAAGTTTACTTAAAATTAAAAATAGTAGTAGTAATATCATTTATATATATATATAATCAATAATTATCTATTTTAGTATAGCATTTATATTTTCTTACTGTTTAATTACTTTGTAATAATATTAGCATCAAAAATTACTTTAACAACCTACCTAACTGCATAGAACTTTTCTCCGTAGAAAATCCTACACGTACAACATGAGGATTTGGCTCATCAGCAGGAAGATTTACATCAAGATGTTTTACAACCTACAAATATTTAAATATTTGAAAAATTTCCTATTGAATTTATATAATTCATATTAAATAATATATTTTATAAATATATTTGTAGAAAAGTTAACATAGTTTAAAATGCAAAACATGCCTAAGTGGAATTTTTTTGCTATTGACTGCTCTAGTTCATTATGTAAATTCATAATCTCATAACATTTGAATAAGCACAAAGCAATATATTCAATATTTATAAACTAAATTTTACTATAAACAAATTTATTACATTAACAAGAAAATTTTTAAATTTGTAGTTGTGTTCTGTAAATATTTTTAGAACACAACTAAAAATTTAAAAATTGAAACAGTCATGAATATGTGCATGCACAGTGCAAAAGTAACTTACTGGATCAATGAATGAATCAATTACAAAATATAAAAGATGATATATATTTTACTATTTGTTGTATATTGTAAGATATTACTAAAAACAGATATGTGAACTCAAATAATGCTTGCCATGCAGCCCATTCAAAGAAAATAGAGTCAATCTTCTTATTTATAATTAACCACAGTCTCCCTTTTGAAGGCCTTGTATTTTACTATTCTTTCTAGATACTTGAGATGGGTGGGGTTGTCAGAATGGTTTAAGATATGTGCCTTGTCAAATTCAACCCAAACATTGATATCAGTTGCAAAACTAGCCAGTGTTGTGGTGTAAAGGCCATTATATACTGATGTTCCTTAATCCTTGTGTTCAGGGATCTAGCTGTGGAACCAGTACACTTGCATGAATAGTTCACCTTGAAATCATGTACAGATATGGTGTAGATTTCCAGCAAGCAACTCTTTAGGGAATCAATACTGTTTGGCTATACTTCATATATATTGAAGTTGTTCTTACCTATCCTATGTTGATGAACAATGCAAATAAACTCTCCTTATAAAAGCCTTAAAAATGAAAATCTTACAAGTAAAAGAATTATGTGGACAGCGTGGAGATGAAGAGCATTAAATAAGACTTTTTTGAAACACATTTGTTAACAACTACCTGTGTTGGGTAAGGTGACATCCATGTCAAGTGGAGATAGCTTTCTTGCTCAACTCACAGAGGCCAATAGTACAGTTGAACCTCACTTAATGAGCAAAACAAATTGTAAAAAAAAGACTCACTTAACAAGTGACGTTTCGCATAACAAGTGACAGGGAAAGGGGAAATCCCGGATTGTGCACATGCTCAGTCAGTCTGTGTTTAGTACTCATTAATAACATCTTACTTGTTAGTGTTGCTTGTGATCACACATTTTTCCAAACTTGTGTTCAGACATATTACATACAAATACCAACAACCATAGACGGTTATATAATAAACACGCCAAACGATATGCCAAATTCTTGGGCTACGTAAAGGCTATAATTAAATATTAGAAATTACTTAATTTTGATTTTTTTGTTTTCTGCAAATCAAATTCACATTCCAGGTTGGTTCATTCTGCGCTAGAAGAAACACTCCTTAATGTATATTGTATAATTTTTTTTGAATAAACGTTATACATAAAATATTTGAGTAATTTTTTTTTCCGGCATGGAATGCATTATCATATTTTACATTAATTTATATGGGAAAAATTGTTTCGTTTAACAAGTGTTTCACATTACGAATAAGATTCTGGAATGGATTATGCTCATTAAGTGAGGTTTCACTGTATTATCATTCTAGGATCAGAAATGATAAGGATCTGAAAGAGGAGCTAGCTAGTTTTGCAACTGATAAGAATATTAAAATTGAATATGATAAAGCATGTACACCATTCTGATGACCCTCCCCATCTCAGGTATCAACCAGAGTATTAATCATATAATAAATAATATCACATGCAGAGGCAGTGTGCACATCTAACAATTAACACTGAATGATGACTGAAATTAAATAATTATACTGATATAACATTTGTGTTATCCTCATTTTTCATTTGTCTCTTTTAGAATGGCTTATTAATGCTAAAATAAAACTGTTATTTGTGAAGAAAAAACCTTAGAATAAGCCCTGCCTACTATGCAGAGGCAATTCTTACCCTTACAAGCAACAGAAGAGAAGATCATCTCTCTCTGTAGTCAAGTGCAATGATCTAACCCATAAGATTTCTTCTATTCATTTATTGCACCCACTTTCCGTGCACAATATTTTCCCCCCCTAAATTCCATTAGGCACACTTAATTGCATCAAGGAAAATGGGCATTACCAATTTGACCACACCATATCTTGAAAACAAATTTATGGGATAACATTTTGCATTACATTTTTAGATTCCTCATCTCTCAGTTTTATCAAAATTGGCCCATCAAATTTTGAGAACAAACTCAATTCTATAAGACACATGAGAGCTACGCTAATGCTCCACCTCAAATATGCAAAAATGCCAAATTATTCAGATATACAAATTAAATTTCTTTAAATATAATTTTAAAAAACTTTCCATTTTTGTTGTGTAAACAATTTTGGAAGAGTCTAATGAGTTATAATAATAATAAATAAACTCCATTAAAAAATTTTAAAAACCAACAATTAACAAAATAGTTTATCAAAAATTAATACTTGATGTATCATACCTTTGTTTCAAAACAAACTTTGCCAGTCTTTATTCCATATGATGCTCTGGCTCCTGCCCACATAAATGGGAAACCAGCTGTAGTCAAAGGTTGTGCAGAATAACGTGTTTTATCTATTTGCAAATTTAAGTCAGAATTATCTATAAAAAGAAAAACAAAATGAGAGATGGGTTACTTTTATTTTCAAAATAACAAAATAAAATTCTTTTTCTTCTACACAAAACTGGATACCTATAAACAGTAAATTACACAACTTTAAAATCTTAAAATTCCAGCAAGTAACTTTAATAGACAAATGTTTTCGATCTAATATTAAAATCGTCTTCAGGTCCTTTAACATTTCAATTATGGAATGTAAAAATGAACAATGATGTATTACAAAAGTAGAGAGGAAAATTTTTTTAAATGTACAACTATCACAATATTTTACAACTAAAGTATTCATTTAACATACAAGAGAATTATTTTAACATTGATGTCTAACAACAGTCCGTTTAGCAGTGATGCTACGTAAAAGGTTGAGTTTGGATAATACAATGACGTATTACAAAATGGAAATCATTTCCACAAATAATTACAAGTAACATTTATTATAGTGCAATGCATTCAAAAATTTTTTTATTGTATAAAATTATATTGCACACAAGCATATTCGTTACCAGTGATCAACAACCTCTATGTAACGAATATGTTTGTGTGCAATATAATTTTATACAATAAAAAATTTTTTGAATGCATTGCACTACAATAAATGTTACTTGTAATTATTTGTGGAAATGATTTCCATTTTGTAATACGTCATTGTATTATCCAAACTCAACCTTTTACGTAGCATCACTGCTAAACGGACTGTTGTTAGACATCAATGTTAAAATAATTCTCTTGTATGTTAAATGAATACTTTAGTTGTAAAATATTGTGATAGTTGTACATTTAAAAAAATTTTCCTCTCTACTTTTGTAATACATCATTGTTCATTTTTACATTCCATAATTGAAATGTTAAAGGACCTGAAGACGATTTTAATATTAGATCGAAAACATTTGTCTATTAAAGTTACTTGCTGGAATTTTAAGATTTTAAAGTTGTGTAATTTAATAAAATAATTTTATCAAAAAATATGTAAAGGGAATTCCTCAAATTCATACCAAATAATGATTATACAGGAATAAAAACAGAAGCAAAAATATCTTTTTGCTTGCTCAGCTTAGGAAAGGAAATTTTCAGTGTAAAATATTGGATTCTGGTCTTTAAGACAAAAATACATCCAGTTTCAGGTATTTTTTTATTATTTAATAATAAAACTCTCTTGAAGATAAATGTAATTTTTTTGTCTTAAAGTATTTGGGTTATATTTGATTTTTTGTGTTGACTCCCATAAAACTGTATTTATGTTTAAGACATTTTTATTAGTAATTGTTGTATTCCTAATTCTTCATGATATATCACATTTGACAAAATTAGTCTTACAATAATCAAAAAACCATTATTTGATTATGACATTGAAAACAAAATATGAAGTGCTTGAAAATACCAAATATTTTTCATTTACAACTAATAAGTTTTAAATATTTAAGAATGTCATTTTATATAATAAAATACTATAAAATTTGAAATAAATGATAGAGACTCACATTTATCTAATGCAACAAGTGTATCATCAAATGGTTCCTCTGGTTCTGTTTCTATTTTTGCAGGAGATTTTGATCGTGATCTGAATAAAAAGATACCTTTTTTTTAACACTTACTCAGTTTGTCAAAGATACAAATAATACAACAAACAATATATTAATGCAAATACAATAAAATTTGAAAAGGCAAAAAATATATTCTTTACAGCTCCAAGTCTTACATCATGTTATAATATTCTAACTTCAAATTAAACTAAAATAAATTTCAAATTAAATTAAGTTTTATAAAAATATAATGTTAAAGTTAAGATTGAAGTATAAATTCTTTCTAAAATTCTAGGTTTACATAATTTCATTAAAATTTTAGTTTTAATTTAAAAATTTTAGATTGTTAAATCTAGCTTTATTATGTTAAGACAAGTTAACTGAAATAAGTAAAAAGACAGATACAAGTATTAAATGTGCTGTTTATTAGGGTTACAACGAATAGTATATTCAGCCAAACTATTCGGCTTGATTAACGCACTTACGAAAATTGGTGCACAAACCGCATTATGGCAAGGACCCTACTCTCTATTCGCCCACTGTCACTACGCTTCGCAAATCGCATTAATTCTTAACAGTTCAGACAAGAGCGTCACAGCAGTATGTGATAAGTGATGATATAAAATGTGGATAATATTGAAATAACCTACATGTGTAAATAACGAAAAAAGAAGAGAGAAAAACCGCAAAGTGAAAATGTGAAATTAAATATGAAATTGAGTTGATAACATAATCGAACAATTTGATTATGTTATCAACTAAATAAGCTGCCTCAAACAAGTTGAGGCAGCTTATTGGTGCAAAACTCGTGGCCGTGAATGCCAAACAATTGTTGTCATAGACTTTGGAAAGCTAAATGCGTGTAATGAAAGAAACTTAGCGTGCACAGGCGAAAGCCTGGGGTCGTTCGGGCTACCAAGCTGTTTTGAATCTGTGAAATCATAACTGTGACTTATACCGACGTCCTATCTGTCTCTTTTCTCTGTTATCACCAGGCTATGAGTCACATAATTGTAAAATGGGAAAATCTACAACAGAAAAGTGATGAATCGAAAGTATTGTGAGGGCGGATTATGATGTATGCATAGGCATACGTGGACTAGAGCGATAGAGGAAAGAAAAAGGGAAGAGCAAAGACGAGCGCTTAAAAAGAAGGATAGGCAGGGTCAGACTCTCAGATGTGCGACGATTCTCAAATGAATAGGTGTGTACGTGTGCCAATCTTTGTAATTATAAATTGTGAATACAAATGACTAATATTATGTTCTTTTTTATTTTGTGCATGTTATAAGTTATAAATAAATATTAACAAACAACACTAACCCGATAACATTAAATCTAAATAATCAAAATGATTAATTTACTGTGTTTTTGTTATTTCTTACTCCTGTTTTTAGGTATTCAGTATTCGGCCGAATAGTGATTAAATATTCGGTATTTGGCCGAATACCGAATAATAACCGAATATTTGTTACATCACTACTGTTTATCTTTTCAAATATTTAAACAAACTTATATATTTTGTTTTCAAAGTAATTTTTTAAATAATATAAATCATAACACACAGCATTGTTTTCCAATATTACTTTGCATAAATCTTATCAACATTTGGCAAAAATATCCAATTATGCAAATATAGACTTATTATTATATAGATACTTCTGATTCTAATTAAAGAGTGCAATTTAAAGGAGTGTCCGACTTCAGGGATTTTATTTTAGTTATAAGATAAAAAAACCAGTTTGATTGCTATAAATAAACAAATTGTTATGTATATGTTAGACTCAAAGATCAAAAACATTCATTGAGCAAAAAACATTGACACAGCATGTTCTGATTTCTCAGATCCGGCCACAATTCAAATAGTGTGTTGTGGCTTTTCCAAAAATGGCAAAATGCTTTTTGTCATATTCAATAAGACCATAAAATAAAATTTGTCTTGATATTCTTTTAATAATCAATCAAAACACACAATCTGTCAATGTGAAAATGTCACAAAGCATTGTGGATGGTTATTAATGCAGCGATGATGCAATGTAATAAAAATAACTGCAAAAATAAGTAACAAATTTTTGCAGAAATATTTTTAATAAATAATTGATATATAATTTCCACCGAAAGTAATTCTGAACAATATTTATTATTACAAAAATACTCAGCAAAAATTCCTGCACCAAACATTATACGATTAAAAGAACCATAGTGTAATAAACGTAACTCTTCATTTCCTTTTATAATTCATAGTCAAGATGATAATTTGTTGTTAATTGTTTTGTTTATAAATCCTTTATGCCTACATATGATACCTTAAAATCCAAGATATCTAAAAAAGTATTATATACTTCTTATTTGACTTAAATCTATTTGTAAGTTACTGTCAACTGATTGCAAATTTGTTTTCAATAATGACTCTCACAAAAAGACCAACTATAAACAAATTTTTATATTAAACTTCTTGACTGTTTCCTAACTATACTGGGTTAGAAATTCAAGTCTTAATCAAAACTTCTTCCAAAACTTCAGACTATGAGGCGTTAAATATAATTAAAAATATTTTATGTATTAAATTTTATGTATTATGTATTAAAAATATTTTATGTCACGCATATTTAAAAATATGCGTGACATCCAACCCCAGTACTTAATACTCCTAAAAAAATTCAAGTCTTTCTCTTCCATTCTGTCCTGTCTAAAGCAATTTCCACAGAGACACTGCACTCTTCTGTATTATATTTAAGGGTCTCATTCCACATTTTTCTAGGTTTTCCGCTCCTTCTTGCTCCTTCTCAGGACTCTTCATACTGGAACTGTTTCTGATTGTCATTGAACATGCCCAAACTACCTCAGTAATTTTCCTTCAATTTTTCTTCTATCTCCACAATGTCCAAGCTTTCCCTGATATAACTATTCCTTGCCTTATCTTCCCTTATGACATCACTCTTCCACGTCAGCATCTGCATTTCTGCAACATACATTCTCTATACTGCACTTTCTTCAAAGTTTAGTACTCTGAACCATACAACAATGAAGGCCTAACAACCATTTTATAAAATTTTCCTGTTAATCTTGGAGAAATTTTTCTGTCACAAAGTACTCCACTAGCTCTTTTCCATTTAGTCCAGCCAGTTACAACTGTTATATCTTCATCAATCACTCCATCTTGCTGGAGTACCGATCCCAAATATCAATCTTTCACTCACACTCCTTAACCTGCCCTATGTTGATCCCAAAAATATTCATGTTGACCTCATTGACCTGCGTGGGCGATCCTGAATATTTCCATGTTTACATCGGAACGTTTTTGATACTACATGTCGCTTTGCGTCACAATTTTTATATTAAAACAAACTTTTAAAATAAAATTTTTTTCGTTTTTATATTATTCAATATATTTATTTTGTTTGTGAAACATAAAAAAAATAATTTTTTACGATACAGTAAACACGATTATTATTTTTAAAAAAATTTAGGCTTAACATCAACAAAAATTCAACATGGCGTCACAGGCAACAAATAAAAATTTCAACATCGAATACGTTAAATATTAGAATATAAGAAAGCAAATAGAATATAATCAAAAGTACATGTCTAGGAATAATACCAATATTGTATATACAGGGTTAATACTTAAATTTTTGTTTTCATTTCCATGACTATTCCTAAACTGACCAACTTTGTACAAATTTCCTAAACCTCACATCCCTTACAGTATGGCATATTGACAAAGTAAAAGAGCGTTTGACTTACTAACATGTTTTGCTTCTCAAATGTTTTAATTAGTCATTTTTTTCTAATTAATATTAATTTTTCTAATTTTTTATAATTGCCAAATTATTAAAATTAAAAATAAAACATATTAAAATTCTGTTATTAATCCACAACCATGAATCTACATGGCTTTGAAAAAAAGAAAAAAAAATCAATTATTTTTTTATTATTCATTAACAAATTTTACAAAATCCATATATATAAGTATATATTTATGAAATTTCTCTCTTAATAAATTTCCTGAACTTCATAAATTCTTAATAAACGAAAAAAAATTCAGAAATTATTTTGTTATGCAATCAAAATTATTAAAATGAAAAATGATAAATAATACAATTTAAATTATTTATCATTTTGTGTACTTTGTAAATTTTTGGAAAAATTTTGTGTAAGCCTGGGAGAAATTTTGGGTCCTGAAAATACTCTGCACCCATTTTCATATGCTGTATTGCATCACATTACTTCTTGCTGCCTGCAGACAGTTACACTTGGTCAAGCATATTGTCAGCAAAAAAATCAAGACAACCAACAAAGCAAATTCCATAACTTTTTGACAATTTTTAACAAATTCCCTGATATTCCATGACTTTTTATGAACACTAATGAAAATCCCCAACATTCCAGGTATGTAGAAACCCTATATATACAAAGATTCTTACCGAAAATAATCTATTTTTATATATACCATTTTTATTATGAACAGTAAATAATATCAACATCCCTATAAATGCTAATAAATATTAAATGCAGTGTATAATAAAACTAAATACTGTAATATTTAATTATACTCAACATTACCTAAATTTTAATTCTACAAAAATATCATCTAAAAAATACTGGAAATAAATTCCTTACCTATAATGACCTCTGTCTCGGGAATGCCTTCGAGAATGATCTCTGTTGCGAGAACGAGAACGATGCCTTAGAAAATAAAATTTCCTTGTTACATATTTTTCAAACTAACACATTTCAATCTTGTCAGAAAATGATAAAAATAACCATATGTAAACAAAAGCCCAATTTAATGTCCAACATGTATTCTTTTCATCTATACAGTAGAATCCCTCTAGTCCGCCCTCAGCTAGTCCGTCACTCCGGTTAAGTTGACCGTGGTTGGAGTCAAGAAACTTGTTCCGACTCGTCAGTGACTCACCATCCATGGCGTTCTTCTGTGTTCGTTACAGTATATGTTTTACACTGTGTGTACGTGTACAGTTTTGTGTTTGTTTTCAACATGTCAGGAGTGAAATGTAAACACGTTACTCTTTCATTAAATGAAAAATTAGCAGTGCTACAAAGACTGGATAAAGGGAAGATTGTTTATTTTACTTTTTTCTGATAATCCGACCTTTTTTTTTGCGTTCCGACCATACCCCCAGTCCCAAAGGTGACGGATTAGAGGGGTTCTACTGAAATTAATTTTAACCACTAAATCTGTATATACATGCCTCAGTTTGTGTTTTAAATTCAAATTGAAAACAGGTACAGGTTATGCAACATGGGCTATCTGCTAATTTTAACTTGCAATTATGAATTCCTCAAAATATCTTTTCATCTTTCTACATTTACTAAGAATATCTACAGAAAACAAAAATTCTTTCCATACCACTGACATTCATCTGCCATCACAATCTTCATCAAAACCATGAAAAAAACATGTTTATGTATGCCTTACCTTTAGTTCTATCCCATTCATTTTCTGTATGTTGTCGATTCACGCTTTGATATTCTTAGATACAATTATTTACATTGAAAGAAAATATAGTTTCAACTGTTCCCATTCTATAAATAACTCTCAAAGAGCTATTTTGATTCTGTTTAGAAATTTTTTTCTCCTCTTTTTTTCACAATTTTTTAACAAATTCCCTGACATTCGTGACTTTTTATGAACACTAATGAAAACACCCAACATTCCAGGTGTGTAGAAACCCTATATATACAAAGATTCTGATACAAAAAATAATCTATTTTTATATATACCATTTTTTTTGGTTTTTTTTTATTTTTGTTTATTATAGTTCTTCAGAGGAAAAAACTGAGTGTTTTACTTAAGTACATATCAATGAATTTTAAACATTAATTTTTTCAGTTTATTCCTGCATTTATCAATTGATAAATTAGAAAAAAGTGATGAGAATAAAATTTATGTCATTTGGTAGCCATCAACATTTTCAACACTTAAGATTGCAGAGGTTTAGGAGAATCAGTCTCAATTAATACTCTAACAAGAACTTTATAAAAGGATAGATGGAATTGTAAGGAATAGTAACAAAAGTGAATTATTCCATTTATTGGTTCAGTCTCAGTATTGTTTTTCCATTTTGTTCATTTTATAATTATATCTACAACAAACTATTCAATAAAGTGAAGCAGGAAGAAAAATTTAATTTCTAAGATGGCACTTTTTAAATTGCACATTAGTGTCATGCTGTCAAAGGCACATCAGAAATACCAGTTATGCAAAGGTTTTACAATAGAGCGTCGATTATCCGAATCAATTGGGGACTGGGGTTGTTCGGAACATCGATGTTTCGGATAACCGATTATGTACGAAAAAATATATTAATTTATCCCATCTTGACATTTTTCTCCATTGCTTGTCGCTTCGCGTTGAATTTTCGTCAATGTTAAGCCTAACGAAGACTATTGTATTGTTAAAAATTATTTTTTTATTTTGTACAAACAAAATAAATATATTGAAAAATATAAAAACAATAAAAAATTAGTATCAAAAACGTAAAATATTTGAATAGCCCAAGACATAGCCAAAGATTGCAGCGCCACAGCTTTGGCGAAAATTTAAATTTGCCAACTGGAATTTTTTCAAATGATTGACGCTCTACTGTAATTCCATTCTGCATGGTATACAGTAATAACCAAACTTACACCAATAAACTTACCACATAAGTTGGGCTATAATTTCGCAATTTGTGTAAAATTCAAGTCTGATGTATGTAAGGTAATAAATGTTCTCGTTAATCTTATCTCATCTTTTGATTCGTTTCCGGTTACAAGAAATCACCACGTAGAGTCTCTCGAGTCTCCGTAGATATAACAAACACAGAAATAAATAACACAAAATAAATTGTAGCTATGTGTCGATTCCGTGCGACACATCCGAACATGTAAGCTGAACAATAGTGTGGAGGGAGTGAGTAATCAAGAGTTGTGTGGCGCTCAAACAAAAGACAAATCGACGAGATTTGAAAATTGCATAACTCTGGGTTCGCGTAAGTCGAGGTATTACTGTATACAAAATAGTTTTAAAAGCTTTTTAGATTTAAAAACACATTTATTCCAAACTATCAGTTTACTGTTTGTAATTTCTAGAAAAAAGAATGAATTTCCTGACTTTACACCAAATGATTTTTTCCTATTACAAAATTCCTAACATTTCTCCTAGGTTTTCTAGTATGGAAAAATGCTGAAACATTAACTCTATTCCAAGCCTTTCTCAGTTCATTTTTATATATTTCATGTATACTATTACAGTTGAACACCTAATACAACTTAAAAGTTAGAAATTGGCCCTTTGTATTAACAAGTCTTGCAATAAGAAAATCTTACAAACAAAAAAAAACAAAGTTGCATCAAATGGCAAAAATCCAAATTTTCTCCCATTTATTTAATATTTAACTGTATTTTATCTTGTTTGAGTAAATTTTAAAACAATGATAAATTTATGTGTTGTTCCAAAGACACTTATTCACATACTGTGACTCAAAGAAAGAAATCAACAATCATTGTAGAAAGAATTAGTGCCAATTCTAATTGATTTTTTTCAATATGGTTAGAGTTGGTAGAACAACAACTGAAGTTACTAAATATAACCAGCTAACCAAGTTGCCAAATTGAATCTAGCAATTGGATACACATTAGGGGAATTTCACAGTATGACTGACTACACAGACTGAACCTATCACATAATCAAATCTACTAGTGGCAAAAGAATTCACACTTATGTCAATGTCCAATTTGTTATGAACAATCAGAACGACTGTCATAAATCGAAACACCAGCAAATCGTTTTAAATTTATTTTTAAGTATCTTTATAATGTGCCTGACTAATATAAATTTGCAGATATTATCTTACTTTGTTTATAAATTCTTCCAAAAAGTCTATTTTTTTCCCTTTTCTCATTTATATGGGTTTTCATAAATCCAAAGTTGATTGGTTGTAGCTTTGAAGCTCTCATTGGCTGTAGCTCATTAACTGCTCCGACTCAACTACAAATATTTAAATATTTAAATCTGTCTGTTTGTAATTATAAGTTGGTTGACCTATTGGCAACATGAGTTAGTTGGTCCAGTCTGTCATAGTGTGAAATCACCTTTAAACTTCACAAATTTTAAAATAACTTATTTGCTTCAATTTCAATGGAAACAATTTGTTTTTAATTTTAAAATTATGAAGTAATTACATAATTTTAAAATTATGAAGTAACTTCCACTTTCCACTTGCACGACAGACAAATGCTAACTGTAAGAGAAAGTAAAATTTTTTGAGTTAAAATGATCATCATTGGCATTACTTATATCTGCACTGCCAACAATGTAACTGACATCTTAAACATTGTGACCAACATTAAAGTTTAAAAACACACCCATGCTTATGATGCATAGTTTGTTGTATTGTCAATTTGGCTTGTATGACTTTCGTAAAGCTGGAAGTAGTGTGCTTTATATTAAACACCAGCAACAATAATAATAGTAATCTAACTGTTAGTAAATTTACAGGGACTGTGACACTTCATATTAACCAATAACAAACTTGTTAAAAATGAAATGCATTTCATAGTCCACAAGACTGTAAACATACTTTTAATAAATTCATACTATAGTAACATGGTTTGACTGTACTGTATCAAATAAATATATATACAATTTGGAACAGTAATTTTTCTTATAAGCATGTGCAATAAACTCAGGTTTGTAAGTAATAAAATATGTTTTAAAATTTTTATGTAATAAAATTACCTCTGTTTATCATTTGGTGATCTTGATCTTTTTCTCTTTTCACCATGTTTTTCCTGAGCTTCTTCAGCCGGTACTGAGTCTATAATAATTGCACCTAAATTACAAGAAATTAAATTTTCATTAGTTACCGTTTGGAAAAGTAAACTACACTAAATAAATGAACATATCTTAAAAACTAAAATCTTTAAATATTAATTTAAAAATTAGTATGAATATTTGATTGTTCTTCAGAGGAAAAAACTGAGTGTTTTACTTAAGTACATATCAATGAATTTTAAACATTAATTTTTTCAGTTTATTCCTGCATTTATCAATTGATAAATTAGAAAAAAGTGATGAGAATAAAATTTATGTCATTTGGTAGCCATCAACATTTTCAACACTTAAGATTGCAGAGGTTTANTGTATAATTTTTGGAAGTGTATTAATTCCTTTTAATATTTGATAACATACATATAAAAACATTATAGAATTAATTAATATATAGAATAGAGACAAACGTCTTTTCCCAACCAGTTATTTTAAAAAGAACATTACAATCATTTTCGACTCTGTCAATGTATACAAATTCATGCATAGACTAAACAATAGTGTCATTCATTTGCTATTATTTAGATCTGTGGGAGATGGGAGTATCTCTTCTCTTATTACAAACAGGGAATCAATAGCAACTAGAGTTGTAAAGAACGACAAAATTGTCTAATTTCAGTTTTTCTTCAATTCTGAAATATTAAACAAACATGAAATAGGCTGTAAAGACAAAACAACAACTATATGCATCATTACATGACAAGAATGCAATGAATAAGAAGCCGTAACATTTGTACAATCATGAATAAGACATAAAATTTTAATTTAACAAAAAACAAGCTAATTTAACAGAATACAAAAAAGCCAATTACATGAAAAAAAAACCTCAACAACAGTCTGCAATAATCCAGGTCTGTGTTTTTGAAATTACAAAACTCTCCACAGCTAACATCATGACATCTGTTATGATAACATAAGAAATAGAATACATTGCTGCACATCACATGCATTCAATTCCTACTTTTGTAAACATTTTAAGCATATCACAAGAAAGAATTATTGGATCATCATCTAGGAATACTTGGCAGCCATTCTAACATATCCACTGTTTTGCAAATTCATATCTTTTGTTAACTTGTTTACAGGCATTTTTACTAGTGTTGCAACAAATAGTATATTCAGCCTCAGGCCGAATACTCGGCCAGGAGCGTGGGCAATAGCCAAATATTTGGCTTGATTAACGCACGTACGAAAATTGGCTTGCAAACCGCATTATGGCAAGGACCCTGCTCTCTATTGGCCCACTATCACTACGCTTCGCCAATCACGTTAATTCTTGACCGTTGTAACGGACAGACAAGAGCGTCATGGCAGTATGCGATAAATGATGATATCAAATGCGAATAACAATGAAATGACCTACACGTGTAAATAACAGAAAAAGAACAGAGAAGAACCACGAAGTGAAAATATGAAAATAAATATGAAATTGAGTTGATAACATAATAAAACAAGTTAAAGCAGCTTATTGGCGCGAAATTCATGACCATCAATGCCAAACAATTGTCGTCATAGACTTTGAAAAGCTAAATGCTTGTAATGAAAGTCACTTAGCATGCACGGGTGAAAGCCTAGGACCATTCGGGCTAACAAGCTGTCTCGAATCTGTAAATTATAACTGACATATACCGACATCCTATCTGTCTCTTTTCTACGTTATCACCAGGCTAAGTCAGGTAATTATAAAATGGAAAAACCATGACGGAAAAGTGACGAATCGAAAGTATTGTGAGTGCGTATTATGATGTATGCATAGGCATGCATACGTGGACTACAGAGATGGAGGAAAAAGAAAGGAAAGAGCAAAGACAAACGCTTGAAAAGGATAGGCATGGTCAGACCCTCACATGTGTGCGACGATTCTCGAATGAACAGGTGTGTACATGTGCTGATCTTTGTAATTATAACTTGTGAATACATGTGACTAATAATATTATTTTTTTATATTTTGTGCATGTTATAAGTTATAAATAAATATAAACAAACAACACTAACCTGACAACATTAAATCTAAATACCAAAATGATTAATTTACTGTGTTTTTGTTATTTCTTACTCCTATTTTTAGGTATTCGGCCGAATAGTGATTAAATATTCGGTATTTGGCTGAATAGTGAAAAATAGGCCGAATACCAAATAGTAACCGAATATTCGTTACATCACTAATTTTTACATATCAAAATATCTGCAAAGTGCCTAGAGTAGATACATTGAAAGTATCATTGCAACAGATATGTCCCAAAAAAGTGTAATTAAAGAAAGGAGGTGAAGGAATACAAATAAAAAAAAGTCTAGAAATAAAACTGTTATTTAATAAAAATAAAAACTTCTTTTTTCATCACTGGGGAGTGGCCAGTACAAAGACAAAATGGGATGTTATAAAATCAAATCTTTTTTCGGAAGTATAAGAAAATCCCAAAATTTGTAAATCTGACATTTAGGATGATGCTACTAGAAATGAAATAGCACAAACTTGCAAGCAAAAATCTACATAAAGACAAACAGCAGCTGTCATTCATAACCTTTCAAATGGACTTTTAACTTCTGAATCTCTAGTAACAATTAAAATTTACTTCCTTCTCTTTTACAGTTTACCCTGTTTTATCATTAGCTTACCAGACAAATTTAATTAACATTGTTTTGAGCAGACTAATGTAAATACAACAGCAGTTGTAATTGAAAAAATCTAAACAATAAAAAAAATTAGGATTTTAAACAGATGCTTCACTGTGCACTTTATACTTTCATTCTACCTATTTATGAAAGCATTGAAACAAACAACCTACAGAATTTATATTATTTTTAATTTAAACCAACCATTAAAAAAATGAATATAACAATAAATAAAGATAGATAAATTACAGTATTTGGCTCTTGAGTGCTTTCTCCTCAAACTTTCACTAACTATTGGTATTGGCACAAAATATTTGTTACATTATAAGCCATTATTACCCTTTAAATAAATAATGTAGAATAAAATATTACTAATTTCAATAGAAGGGAATGTTAAAGTATGTAAATAATTCAAATTTATTTAACCATCTGAAATATGAGAAAGTAAATAAAAGTTTAAGAAATTATGTGCATTATAAGTTTATAATTGTATAAATTATTTCTATTATAAATATTTTGGCATCATAATTTCAATTGGCAATTTGGCTTCATTTCAATGTATAATCTTCATATTTGTCATAGAGAAATCTTTTATGAGAGAAAATTATCCTGCTGATCAGTTCTAGTACATTTCACTAACAAAAACTTTGTGAATTATACCTGCAAACACACTGAAAACCAGAATCATCATTCCAATATATCCCAATATCTATTCCATTTTTGTTTTTGTCCACAATTTGAACTCTGAATAAATTAAGGATAAAGAAAAATCAATCAAGAGTCTTATATAAATGTGCATGTTTTTTGCTGTTTTATCATAGAATTTTAAAAAATATATATTAAAAGTAATATACAAACACCATTTTCAATATTCCTAACAACAACATATTTGATAAAAGTTCTATCAAATTTATTTTTAATTATATAATGTAATGCATCTAACCTTGATCTTTTGCATCATTTTCACCATCTATCTGATTTTCTTCAGAGTTTTCTTTCTTTTCCTCTTCATCTTCCTCTTTCATTTCTTGATCACCAGTTCCTTCACATTCTTCCTCCTAGAAAAATAATTATATTCTTAATAAGTAAAATTCTTATATATAAACCATCAAATCATTTATATAAAACAACTTTAACATATAATAAAACTTCTCTTAGTAGATACAGTGGGTGATCGGTAAACAAACAGATCAGATAACAAACACTTTTTCGAAAGATTTTTATGTTCGGATAACGAACACATGATCAAATAACGTACACCCCACAGAACAAACACAAGAAGAAGCAACGTAAAATAATGAATACCGACCAATCTTCCGTTGTCTTCGGGCAACAATTCGAAACCTTTCAAAGAATGGGAGATGTCAACATCAAGCTCAAGCCAGTATATACCGATCAGATAGTATTCCTCCAAACTTTGAAACTCTCGCTTGTAACTCCAGCCTTTTATTTTTATGACAAAACAATTCTTATATATATTCGTGAGACTGTCAGGTAGGCACTCGTTAAGTTTTGCGTCTGTTTTTCTTTTTGAAAGGTGAGAGTATAATAGCAAAGGTAGAGAGTAGGCAGAAGATGCCTAATGTTGCTGGGCAGTATGACTTGAACAGGTCTACAGTAGGCTGCCATTCAATCTTATCTAAAAAAGATACTGTATAATCAAGAAGACTCAAGAAGCTAAAGGAGTAACAAAAATCACATCTGAGAAATAAAAAAAACGTTGAAAAACTCATAATGGAACCTGAAACTGATCTGATAAGAGAAGAATGCCAAAAACTCTTGAATGAAGAACACCAAGAAACTCTGCGAGATATGTTTTCTTCTGAAAAAGAGGATTAATGTCGATATCTACTATTAAACATCTTTTGAAGAAGTGGGAGAATGTCAGTCTTAGAATGGCATCCAAACCAAGTTGAGGCTTGGCGATTTCTACAATTGCAATGCTATTAATTACTTATGAAAAATCCTGAAGAAGAGAGAAAAGCAATTGATTAGACAGATTCTTTAACCCTTTCAAACAGAAAAAATATGACTAATAAAAACGCAAGACTGTGTATGTTTGTATTTTTATCTATATATATAAAAGTGTGTGTGTGTGTGTGTGTGTGTGCGTGCACGCGTCCCCTTCATGCATTACCACACCGTTTATCCGATTGCCGGGAAACATTGGGAAGTTGTTTAATATACTCCGGCGAAGGTTTGTGGCATAGTACGATTGCCATGAACTTTGGAAAGTTTTTTAAATTTTTTAATACACTCCCGCGAAGTACATTTATCCTACGATAGATGGCGCGCGTTTACACGAGCATTCGCGCGCAATGTGTTCAATCGATTTCAAATTGCGAAGATCATTTCCCCCCTTCAAAAAATATCTTTATATATGCATTTGTGAACTGTTATTTACGATATTTCTAATAATTTTTGTTTAATCACTTTATTTCGACTTTTTTTGCTAATTATGTATTCGCTCGAACTTCGTTAAAACCTTAACTGTACCCCAAACAACAACCGAAGTTGTAGGAAGAAATTCGCGTATTTTACCGATCTAGGTATCCCCCTTTTCTGAATTGTGTATTTATGCTCCCTGATTCCCATTTTTACAACATGTGCAGTAGCTCCAACATATTCATATGGATCAGTTGACAATTCATTCATTGTTCCAGATGGGCCAGTGCCCATCTGGAACAATGGGCTTCCACCTGGAGCCTCTTGTTCTTGGCACCCAAAAATGCAGTTCTGGACTTTTCACCAAAACACTGCCTCCGCCAATCTCTTTTTCCCTTCGTTCAGGGCAAATCCCACAACATACCTCCTTACGTATCTTAGGAGTCCAATTCTCATTCTTTAACTTGGATAGCCCACAAAACTTTCCTCAAGACAAAATTAGCACAGGCAGGCACATACCTAAAATACTTCACATCACATAGGAATGGGGCCAGGATGTCTGATCTCCTTCATCTATTCTATATGGTCCTCAGCCCGATGACCAAATTTGGTGGGCCGCTCTTAGAAGGCGCCCCTCCCAGCAGCTCGACCGCACTGAAAAGACATGTTGCTCTTCGCACAGCCTTGGGGGTGCCATTAACAACTCCCATTCTGTCACTCTACACAATCCTTTCTCAAAGTAGGCAATAATGCTCCCTTGTGGGCACTGGAGGCTTTCAGGGGAGCAGTAGAAGGCTCAGTGATTAACAATGAGTTTTATTTCTTCTCATTGAAACATTCTTTGATTTCAGAAATAGGATATGGGTCACACCCTATCTATCCTATCTATATAATAATGCATGTTTAAACATTATATTTGCAATAAACTGCTTTTAAGATATGCAACAAATGGTAATGTAAAAAAGTAAGTTAAAAAATATGGAGCACTAGATTTTTTTTAATCTCAAAGTGGACGGTGGTAAAAATAAGTTTGAGAACCTGTGCTCTACACAGAGATGGGATACATACCCTACAAAACAAGACTCCACATGCAGGCCACAACACATGCCATTACCCATCTGGCACATGGTCCCTTCAGCCTGCTCCATAAGCTTTATAAGACAGGGCCCAGCTTGGCATACTATCATTGGCACCCTTACCAGGAGCCCTACATCAGCAGACAGGCCTCCCTCTATCAAAACTATACCACCTAAAGAACACTCTGCAACTGTTTTAACACCAGAACATCTTCCAGACGGCACAACCCAGCCCATCCAGTCACTTGCGCCCACTTTCAAGATGAGGTCTCTAACCGAGGGGAAGACTGGATGCTTATCAGATCAGACACGTCAAAATCCCCACTCAGAATGACTGTTGGAATGGTCATCCCTTCTCATCAAATCACTGAAATGGCAAATAGATGAAGGTTGCAGTATCTTCAGATTGGATGCCCTGGCCATCCAGCAGGCCTTCACCTTGGTCAGCCCTCCGCCACCCAACAATCATCACTTCTGATAGCCAATCAGTCCTTCAAGCAGTAGTGGCAGTCACCCATTCATCACAGCCCCTCACCATAGACCTGGTGGCAACTATCACATCATTTTCAACACCCCTCGCCATTAGGTGGACCCCAGGCCATGTAGGTATCCCAGTCAATGAAGCGGCCGATAAGGCTGCACATACTGGCACTCCTATCAGCACAATATAGTGCCCGCTACAGCTGAATGATCTCTCTCAGAACACCAGAAGATCAACCATCCAAAATATCATCAATGCATGGATGCCAAGCCTATGCAGGAAGGAGCACAACCACCTTTGCCCCTGCACCAAGTGGCCTTATCAGTATGCCTTGTTCCACCAAACTGAAACTTTGCTGGCCCACCTCCACATGGACAAGGCCCCACTGAATGCATTCTTACACTCCCATCACCTCCGCGACTCGCCAGCATGCCCTCACTGCAGCATAGAGGAAACAGCATATCACTACTGGCTCAAATGCCCACAATACAATGGGCCCCGACATACCCTCAGTACGAATCTCTCCCTCAACCCCACTCGTTAATTCTGATTTACTGGCTGTCCACTGATGTACCATTGAGCTGGCACATGGCAAACTCAGAATTGTTTATTCACCAAACAGGTCACTTCAACTAACCATCAGGCGACAGCGTATTGGAGAATATAATCCGAGTGGCTGGAATCTCAATATAAACTCAAAAGAAAAAAAAAAAAAAAAAGGTGGAACTTCGTGTTTTCGTAAGGTAGGTTACAAATGGCAACGTCAATTATTTAGTGTGTTTGGTATTTAGACGTGAATGTAATAGATGTCCTACTTGAAGGGTCTGAGAATTGTAAAAATGTCTATTAAGTAGAGGTGTCAACTATTCAGGCATTTCCATTAATAAAGGTTTTACAGTACACTTTTAAAAAAGCAAAATAGAACATATATTTCAAAAACAAAGAACCATACACGTAATTGGATATTTGTTGTGCACATAGAAGTAGTGTCCAATCACATGTACAATTCTTAGTTTTCGAAATATATATTCTGTTTTGTGTTCCTTTTTAAAATGTATTAAGCTAATTATGACTGTTAAAAACAGACAGAAATGTTAATTTTAATAAGTATTCTTATTAAAATTAATTATATCAACAAGATTCCTTGCTGGATTTTTGACATTTTTGTCATTTATTTTATTAAATATCCAATTTTTTGTGTGTGGCATTTAAGATATTTAATTTCTTTATGAAAGTTTTAAAACTGCTTAACCCTGATTAATTCACATATCTCCCCCATGTAACAGGGAGAACTATCACCTTGAATAAAATATTAAATGATTGATTGATATATTTTATTAACAGATGTACGATAAAATAGAAAAAAGCTAAATTTTTATCATTTCAATGCATATATCATCATTATAAATTTGATAAGCTTCTGAAAAAATTTTTTTTGTGATTTACCTGAATATCATTCTGTTCTTCATCTTCTTCATCTTTAGCTTGTGATTCATCTTCAGTAGTTGGTTCTTCAGGAATATAAGCCTAATTTTTAAAAGAAATATCAAAAATAAACAAAATGAATAAGAATTCATTTAACAATATCAAGTAAATAAAGTATAGTTTTCAAGTATAAAACATAATACTACTTAAGTCCACTGTGAAGAATGATGGGCTATTTTCATTACAATTATTATAACTGTCAGAATTGCAAAAATTATTTGAATAAAAAGAGATGCAAAATAGTATAGTTTCTTAATCTTGACTACATCACAAATTAAACAAACAAAAACAAACTATATTATTGAAATAATTAAAAATATAATTTAATAGAATTTGAGAACAAAAATTCCATTAGATATTAAATTATAAACCATAATCATGAGGTCATGAGGAGTAACCATAATCAGGAAACTTTTTATACATACAATAGCAACAATCTGAATTGTACTAATACACATAGATATGAAGGTCTAAGTTAAAAGAACATATACTAAATTTCCTAATCATCTGATAAGTTTAACGTACAAGTTTCAATTTATCTAAGAAATACACGTAATTCTCATTCAAACTCGCATCTCAATAAAAATGAATTTATAAACTAAACTTTCAATATAAAATGTAATCTAATAGAATTTGTTTGGCAAGTTCAATATTAATTTTATTCAAATATGGTAAAGATTGCCTAATCTAGTAATAAGCTTTCCAATAATGTTCTAAAATAATATTGAAAAATATATGGAACAGTAAAAATCCAAGAACAGCCAATGCATCTGAAACATTTCACTTGTGTTTACAGGCCTCACTTTTTTTGAAAGTGAAGACAGTCCAGCACTTATGGTACAGTACATGGCATACACTATCATATGATGATAAACCACCTTTGTAGCCAGAATTGATTGATATGGCTTTCAGGGACATGCTGCTCCAATAAGATAGTGAAATGAACCATACAAACAACAAAATGACAACTTTATTGCAATCAAAGTTAAGGCAAAACTTCATGAAACAATGATGTCAACTGCATCCAAGATCATGAAATTTGACACTGGATTAATTTTTTTAAAACTATGTGAAAGTAATGTATATGCCAACAATCCACAAACCATCAATGAGCTCAAAGACGAAAAAAACATGTCAATGGCAAGACTGAGATATAATTACAGTGGAACCTCACTTAATGAGCATAATCCATTCCAGAATCTTATTCGTAATGTGAAACACTTGTTAAACGAAACAATTTTTTTCCATATAAATTAATGTAAAATATGATAATGTGTTCTATGCCAAAAAAATACTCAAATATTTTGTGTATAACGTTTATTCAAAAAAAATTATACAATATACATTGTTAAGGAGCATGAATCATCATCATCATCATTCCTTCTAGTACAGAATAAACCAACCTGAAAGGCCTATTTGATTTGCAAGAAAAAAAATTGCAGATAATATGTATGATAAACAGGCCAAACGATATGCCAAATTGTTGGGCTATGTAAAGGCTACAATTAAATATTAGAAATTAATTAATTTGACTAGAGGTAGGCAGTTATGCGCCATCTCATATTAAATTTTAATTATTAAAAATAATTAATTTTTAATGTAGACATTTTTTAAATTTAATTTGGAATTGGTCATTAAATTAATTAATTTCTAATATTTCATTGTAGCCTTTACATAGCCCAAGAATTTGGCATATAGTTTGGCGTGTTTATATATAACCGTCTATGGTTGTTAATATTTGTATGTAATATGTCTGAACACGAGTTTGGAAAAATGTGTGATCACAAGCAACACTAACAAGTAAGATGTTAATGGAATGAGTGCTAAACACAGACTGACTGAGCATGTGCACAATCCGGGATTTCCCCTTTCCCTGTCACTTGTTATGTGAAATGTCACTTGTTAAGCGAGTTTTTTTTTTACAATTTGTTTTGCTTGTTATGCAAGATGCTCATTAAGCAAGGTTCCACTGTATTTAAAAATCTAGACAAAAATAGCATCATGGGAAGAGCTGTAATGCCATTTATGAGGTTCCTGAACTCAAGTTGAAATTTTGATTAATTATAAAATTTTTTAAGTCGGGAAACTTCAAGAGTTAAATCGGATAAAGAACACATGTCGGTACAGTAGCCTTGACAGAAAGGAAAACACTTGTTCTAAAACTAAATGCGATGCGATGATAAATGACAGAGGGAATGTCTACCGGGTAAGAGGGGGCTTTGTCATGGTGCTCGTATACAAGAGTCAAAGTGTAAACAATCAAGAAAAAAAATGGAAGGACTAATGATCAAAAGGACACCTGTTAGGTCATGTGAGCCCTAAACCATTTGGGAGGGGGTAAGCGGACACAAAACATCTGGCAAATCGGTCAAGAAAAGTGTCCAGAAAGAATATAATGATGTTAATTATGAGTGCAAGTGTCAAGACCCTGTCAGCACTCTGGCCTTACCCGATCTGAACTCGCTTCGGTCTCACTTGGAGACAGAAGAATGACCAATCGAGATAAGGGAAAAGGGACACAAGACCAATCAAAAATGGGAAATTCGAGGGGAAATTCTATAAAACCTCCAAATCACAATAAGAAGAGGAAATTCTCCGCCTGCTAAGAAGTGTATTTGTCGGAACGTCAACCTGCCGCCCGTACACCAATGTCCCTCTACCAACTTGACACTTCTTCCCCAATGTCCCAGGGCACACAACTTGTGGCATCATCCCATACCTGACCACTATCATCTGGAGCTCCTCATCCAAGACAATCTAGATCATATCTTGTATTGTTGTTATGTAAGTTACTTTTAATGTTATAATGAACAGTTCTTGTATAATACTTGTTATCTTTGTCTCTGCTACTGCCCACATACAATCAGTCCCTAGGTTTATCCTGACGTGAAATTAACTTATTGCCCCTAAAAGTCAGCACCATACACATTTGTCTGGTAATGTATTTTATATACAATTGTAATTACATAAATCAAGTTTCCCAACCTGTGTGTCATAGAAATATTAAATATTTTTTAGAATTTTGAATAAACTCTTTTTTAAAATTTCTTCAAGTTTCATCTTTTTACCTCTGACTGACCGAAAAGAAGAACTATTTTTAAATTAATGTTTAGTTTATATATCTGCAAATATTAAAGGCAGCACAATTGTTTATTTTTTTCATTCATTACAGACATAGTTTGGTTGCATGTAATTTTATTTTCAGAACTCGTTAGGTGCCAAGTGGATAAGTATTCAATAAAATGTCAATTGTTGCAAAATTTGAAGCATCAGTATACCTCCCATCACAAAAATTGAATACAGTAATACTCCGAACTTACGCGATAGGTGGGACCGAGTGATAACCGCGTAAGTTGAATGCGCATAAGTCGGGGTATAATTTCCCAATTTGTGTAAAATCCAAGTCGGATGTATGTAAGCTAATAAATGTTCTCGTTAATCTTATCTAGTCTTTTGATTCGTTTACGGTTACAAGAAATCACCACGTAGTCTCTCAAGTCTCCGCAGATATAACAAACACAGAAATAAATAACACAAAATAAATTGTAGCTATGTGTCGATTCCGCGCGACACATCCAAACATGTAAGCTGAACAATAGTATGGGGGAGTGAATAATCAAGAGTTGCATGGCGCTCAAACAAAAGACGAATCGACGAGATTTGAAAATCACGTAACTCCGGGTTCGCATAAGTTGGGGTAGCATAAGTCAAGGCATAACTGTCTATGCATATGCTGGGGCCTTTGAAGCTTCTAAAAACATTGTGGCTTAACAGCTTAAAGATTGATACTAACTAGCTCTTTATGCATTGATTCAAATGATCCTTTTATTTTTATAGTAAGTTTGTAAAATTGTGAGTTTTTGTCTTAATAAGTTTAACTTTTGTATTATCAAATTCTTATTACTGTCTATGCATATGCTGGGGCCTTTGAAGCTTCTAAAAACATTGTGGCTTAACAGCTTAAAGATTGATACTAACTAGCTCTTTATGCATTGATTCAAATGATCCTTTTATTTTTATAGTAAGTTTGTAAAATTGTGAGTTTTTGTCTTAATAAGTTTAACTTTTGTATTATCAAATTATTTTTTAAATCAACTGTAGTTTATTTTAAATTTTAAATATTTTTATTTTAAAAATTATGGTGTGTCACAAAAATCTAGTTAAATTCAAAGTGTATTGCTAATCCAAAAAGATTGGGAAACACTGACCACAGAGATATGCAAATGATTAAGTTTGCATATTCATCAAATCGTGTGGTACCAAGTTTTGGGCTATAAAGACCAGCAGCTGGTTTGGCTGTAAATACTATTAGCAACCATTTGCATCAGTCGTATAGAGAACATCTTAGAGATAACAGCAAGCTGAATACCACCAGTTAACAGCTGGGGAATGAGACTATCCTAGAGCTGCAGAACCTTAGTTTGTTGACATGTGCAGTTGCCACACGTGATGGGCATAAGACAAGTACTATCCAGCAACATGTGACATGGATGCAAGAACATCTGCAAATAAACTGAAGAGGGAGTGTATTGCACTAGTGCATGTCAGAGTGTACATACTGGCAGATTTGCTGAACAACTCTTTGGGCCCCATTTTCCATGGCATCTGACATCTGAAGCTGGCTATTGCTGTCAACAGGCTCATCTGTGTCCAACCAAACAATTTGCAACTGGTTGCATGAAGTTAAGATACACACATGGCAACCAGTAACCAGTGAAGATAATATTCACTTCTCAACAAAAGGCTTGCTGACCTGGCATAGTGTCATTATAATCGCAACTGGATCACTGAACAATAACTGATGCCATTCATCAGATATTACTTATGGATGAATCCCACTTCTGTCTGTAGACATATGCAGCCGTGAACAGGTGTGGCAGTATCCAGGGAATGCTATGTGCCTACCCTTTTTGCTGAGCATCATGTTCAATCAGTAGACAGCCCTAGTGCACATTTCCAGTACTCTGGAACAGTAGACAGTGGACCAGTAGTCACATGAATTGTTGGCTTGTGGTTCAGCCACTGGTGAGAGCCACACCTGA